CTCCATCCTCCCTCCTCCCCTCCTCCCCATCCCTCCTCCGTCCTCTCCCTCCTCCCCCCCTCCTCTCCTCGTTCCTCCCTCCTCGTTCTCTCTCGTTCCTCCCTCCTCGTTTCGTTCCTCCCTCCTCGTTCCTCCCTCCTTCCCCCTCCTCGTTTCTCCCCCTCGTTCCTCCCTCCTCCCTCCTCCCGCCTCCTCCTCCTCCCTCCTCCCTCCTCCTCCCTCCCTCCTCCCTCCTCCCTCCTCCTCCTCCTCCTCCTCCTCCTCCTCCCCTCCTCCTCCTCCCCTCTCCTCCTCCTCCTCCTCCCTCCTCCTCCTCCTCCTCCCTCCTCCTCCTCCTCCTCCTCCTCCTCCTCCTCCTCCTCCTCCTCCTCCGCCTCCTCCTCCTCCTCCTCCTCCTCCTCCCTCCTCCTCCTCCTCCTCCTCCTCTCCTCCTCCTCCTCCTCCTCCTCCTCCTCCTCCTCCTCCTCCTCCTCCCTCCCTCCTCCTCCTCCTCCTCCTCCTCCTCCTCCTCCTCCTCCTCCTCCTCCTCCTCCTCCTCCTCCTCCTCCTCCTCCTCCTCCTCCTCCTCCTCCTTCCTCCTCCTCCTCCTCCTCCTCCTCCTCCTCCTCCCTCCCCCCCCCTCACCATGGCCACGCCAGGGCTCGCGCCGGCGCCGTCTGGGAATGGCCCGGGGCCGCCAGGGGTACTGGCCGTCCCCAGGCGGCGCCAGCACAGCTCGTGGCTCCGCCTGGTCTCCTCGCCGCCCTCCCCCCTCCCCCCCTGGCAACGGCCCACACTCGCAGCGGTCCCACGGGCGATGCCGGAGAAGCCGTGGAAGCGCTGATCTGGGGCCGCTCCTGCGGCAGGAGAGCACTGGACAGCGTCTCTCTACCCGTGGCAGGACGTGATCCGGAAGATCTGGGGCACCGCTCGGGGGGAACGAACGGGGGGGCTAGCATATAGGCATATAGGGTAGAGAACCCGCTCACGTAGCTGGTTTTCCCAGCGCCTCCCGGCGCCGGGAGGCGCCCAGGTCTCGAGGAATGGGCCCCCAGCGGCGGGGCCCTGGTCGAAACCAGCTGCATGCAGCAGATTTCGTGACCCCCTTTCGTTCGGCCCAATCCAGCAGCCCTGAAGCCTCTGCGGCCCCGGCCCTTCCGCCCCCCCACCCCGGTAACGGCCACCATCGCGAGGGAACGGGAAAACGGGCACGTGTGCGTGGTGATCTTCCGGGAGGCTCGGGGGCTTCCTATGGGGCTGGCCGCCCTGCTTGATATACCAGGCCACGCAGGCAGGCGGTCCAGCCCGGCTCCGTATGGGCCCATCGGCCGGGCCCCGGTGGAGCGAGAAAAGGCCCATGCCGCGCCCTGTATTCCGTTGCCATCGTTTGGGCGTCCATCCGTGCATGTTTCGGCTTCGTGTGTGTGTGTGTGTGCGTGTGTGTGTGTGTGGTTGTGTGTCGGGCACTCAAGGGCGTGCGTCACGCACCTAGGAGCTACGGCCCGCGGCCTAAACATGTGTGTGTGTGTGCGCGTGTGCGTGCGTGCGTGCGTGTGTGCGTGCGTGCGTGCGTGCGTGCGTGTGTGTGTGCGCGCGTGTGCGCGTGTGCGCGTGTGCGCGTGTGCGCGTGTGCGCGTGTGCGCGTGTGCGCGTGTGCGCGTGTGCGCGTGTGCGCGTGTGGGCGTGTGCGCGTGTGCGCGTGTGCGCGTGTGGGCGTGTGCGCGTGTGCGCGTGTGCGCGTGTGCGCGTGTGCGCGTGTGCGCGTGTGCGCGTGTGCGCGTGAACGCATGTGCGCGTGTGCGCGTGTGCGCGTGTGCGCGTGTGTGCGTGTGCGCGTGTTCGTGTGTGCGTGCGTGCGTGTGTGCGTGTGTGCGTGTGTGCGTGCGTGCGTGCGGGTGTGCGCGTATGCGCGTATGCGCGTGTGCGCGTGTGCGCGTGTGCGCGTGTGCGCGTGTGTGCGTGTAAGCGCGTGTGCGTGTGTGCGTGTGTGCGTGTGTGCGTGTGTGCGTGTGTGCGTGTGTGCGTGCGTGCGTGCGTGCGGGTGTGCTCGTGTGCGCGTATGCGCGTGTGCGTCTGTGCGCGTGTGCGCGTGTGCGCGTGAGCGCGTGTGCGCGTGTGCGCGTGTGCGCGTGTGCGCGTGTGCGCGCGCGCGTGTGTGTGTGTGTGTGTGCGCATGTGTATGTGCGTTTTCGCAAGAGGATCCAAGATGTTCCTCGATGGCCCTCCCCGAGAACAAAACTGCACGCGTCCGAGCGATGCCAAGCTGCACCCCGAGGAGGACCCCGAGGCGACTACAGCAGCGGTGGCGAGGGCGCCGCAGGAGGCCAAAGGGCGATGGCGAGCGAAGGATGTCCTGGATTCTCTTCTGAAAACTGGCCGGAGCTGGCGGGGCCCAGTCATGCGATGTCTGATATACCACCCGACTATTCTAAAGGGGGGAGGTGGGGTTCACTTCGCTCGGGACCTGCCGAGCGAAGTGAACCCCACCTCCGCTCTTCGAACTCGTGTGACGGCGGGGTAGGGTTTGCATGTGGCCACCGAAATTACCGCTCCGACGGCCAGCCAGGGCCCGACGAACAGCCGGCGCCCCCCCCACCTTATGCTGCATCTTCTGAGCACTCTCTCTGCCCCCCCGCGCCCCTCCGAGTCGAATCCGCATCGAGTCCGCGTCGAACCCACGCCGAAGCCACGCCGAGCCCGCCTCGAGCCCACCTCGGCACAGGAAAAAAGACACCACTTTTTCCGGGGACAGGCCAAGCCCCCAGGGCGATGAAACGCAAAGCTGGCGTCCCCCCGATGGGGAGACCAGAAGGTACCCAAGACGAAGCCAGGACGAGGATAAATTCGGGTGAGGATGACTCGGGGATATCTGAGGTTCGGCGGCTCTGGAGGATGTCCCGGACGCCGCGGCCTCTGGAGCGCTCTGAGGGCGTTCCGCGACGCTCTGGAACAGCTTAATTCTCGTCCTGGCCCCGTCCGAGGTGCCAATAGTTACCGCCACGCTCTGGACCTTTCCTGGAGCACGCCGCGGCCAGAAGCTCGGAGCGAATCCAGCGGTGGCGACAAGGGCCTGCCAGGAGGGCGAATGCAAAGGGGAACGACGGCCGAGAGGGGTAATTACCGTGGGGTCGTGTGGTGTGGACCCCGGCGTTGGTCCCTGACACCGCGGGGAGCGCTCCACCTGGAAGGATCGGTCGCTTCCGAAGCGTCAGGTCAGGTCGGGCATGTCCCCCTACAGTCAAAAAATGCTCAGACAAGTCAAAAACGGTCCAAAAGTCGTCCCCTGACTATTTTTTACTATGTTTGAATTTTCCTCTTCTAGAGGGGCATGCCTGACTGAAACGTCAGGTCGTTCCACATCGGCCGCTTCTGGATCGCCCGCGGCGGTCCGCGTGGAACGCCAGAGGCGGGAGCGACGCCTTGTCGACGCGGCACGAACCTACCGTAACGCACTGGGGAAACCAAAGAGCACCGATACCGCTACAACCCAGACCTCTCCCTGGGTGCGCTCTGACCAGAACAACTTCGGGGTGAAGCCAGCGGTGGCGACGAGGGCCTCCCAGGAGAGGCCCAAAAGGAGGAAAAAGGGCGAAGGGTAATGGCATGGCAATCTACGTAAGTATTCCTCCTTCGAGGTGTGGGCACCCCTCCCTCCTCGGACCCCCCGGCCGCCTGCTCGATGCTCGATGTTCGATCCTCCTCCCTCCCTGGTCGATCCACGATGCTCGATCCTCGAGGCTCGATCCTCGAGGCTCGATGCTCCATGCTCCATGCTCCATGCTCCATCCTCGATGCTCCATCCTCGAAGCTCCATCCTCGATGCTCCATCCTCGATGCTCGACCCTCGACCCTCGGACCCCCGTGGCCGCCTGCTCGAGGCGGCGGCGCGGGGGCGCCGTGGCCAGCAGCGCGGCCGCGTCGCTGGCCCAGCCCGCGCCGGGCGGCTCCGTGGCGAGGATCTGCAGGGCCACCTCGCGCGCGAGGCGCTGCCCGCCCGCGGCCGCCGGGCCGTCCGCCTCGCGGGAGGCCCCAATGCAACGGGGCGAGGGAGCTCGACCGACGACGGAGGGGCGGCGGAGGGGCGAGGGACGTGGGGCCCGTTCTCCACCACCACCACCACCACAAGTGACTCGTAGAGTTTCCCTAAAAGCGTTTGCGGCGAAGCTAGAACAGTAATTCCGGCGCGCTGGGGGGCTAGTTGGCAAAAAAATATCGACGGAAATGTTGCATAATTGTGCTCGTCTGAAATTCGATTTCTCGAAATTCAACCATTCGTTAGAACTCTAGTATTTCCCCCCCCCCCCAATTTCGATCTTATTCCCGCTCGCCATCTTAATCTCAGCTCGATCGGGTACCTACTACTGCCAAAAAGCATGTGGGCGGGATCGGCGGTTCGGGTCATATTGACAGGTGCTGTCGGTTTTCTGAACTTAACTCGAGCTGTAGGATAGCTACAGAGCTGATAGGCACACCTAATCGATCTAGAATCGTCAGGCGCGTTCGTCTGAAGCATCTAGATGTCTGAGTTCGGTCTGATACTAGAGCTAGATCTGCGAAGCTATTCGTACTCTACTATTTTTGATGTTATGATGAGTTGATTGGCTTAACTCGAGCTGCAGATAAGCTACAGAGCTATTCGGAACATCGATCGGAAGGAACTCATCAGCCGCGCTAGTTCAAAGTATCTAGACGCCTGAACTCGGTCTGCTATCTTGGCTGGGTCCGAAAAAACTACTCGTACTCTGCTAATGTTTGAGAGATGGTGATGGGCTTCTTGACTTAACTCGAGCTGCAGATGAGCTACAGAGCTGTTTGGCACAGCAATCAGACGGGAATCATCAGGACCGCTAGTCTATAGTACCTAGACGCCTGGACTCGGTCTGCTATGAGAGCTGGGTTCGAACAGCTATTCGTACTCTGCTAGTTTTAATAGAGATGGTGATGGTTTTCTTGACTTAACTCGAGCTGGAGATGAGCTACATAGCTGTTTGTCACATGAGTCGAAAGTAAAACAAGAAACGCTAGTCTAAAGTATCCAAATGCCCGAACTCGTCACGCTTTCAGAGTTGGAACCAGAAAACTATTCGTACTCTATTAATTGTCCCAGCTATGTTTTCTCCTGACTCCTTCTTCTCCTCCACGTCCTCCTCCATGAGACCGCGCCGTCGCGCGCGCAATGCGAGATTGCCGCGCCCGCATTGCACGAGGAAGCTCTACGAGTTCCCGGCGGTAACCAAGGTTGACGGTTTGCCGCCGGCTCCCAGTTAGAGAGGGAAGGCCTCCTCCTCCTCCTCCTCCTCCTCCTCCTTTTCCCCTGCAACTGGTGGTGGTGGTGGTGGAAAGCAGGCCCAGCAGGGGAGCTCGACCGACGACGGAGGGGCGGCGGTGCAGCCTGCTCGACGGGGGCCTCCCGGGCGGGCGGGGCGCCGGGGCGCCGAGGGCCCTCAGTCGGCGTGGGCTTAAGTCGGGCCTGTCCCCCTGCAGGGGGAGTTTCGACGAAAAACAAAAAAATACCCAACAAACAATCCAACAATGCTCCAAAAATCGTCGGGGGACTATTTTTTGGAGTACCTCTTCACTTTTTCTGAATATGTTTGGGGTACTGCTTATTCTTTGTCGAAAACCCCCTGTAGGGGGACATGCCCGACTTAAGCGTGGGCAGAGGGGTGGCGATGCCGAGCGGCCGACGCCACGAGCCGCGAACCGATCCGCCGAGAAGCGCCCTCGCAGCTCTGAGAACCCAACAGGTCCCTTCGAAGGATGGAAACATCCCGACGGGGGGTGATTCAACGTGTTCGGCCTCTGGGGGCCCTTCCCAGCCTCCGGGGCCGTCAGAGGAACGACTCGGGAGGAAAAGCCGGTCCCGGGAAGTGGGTCGAGGCCTTTGCGCTCACCGCTCGGACGTCCATTCCCTGTGTTTCTTTCGGTTTCGCGCGTGGTTTTTTCGCCAGATGGTCAAGGATGCTCCTCGATGGTCCTCGCCGAAGGAAAAATTGCACAAGTCCGAGCGATGCCAAGCTTTTGGGGGTCGACGGCAGGAACAAAACTGTGGCGTCGGGGGGGTTCTGGAGCTCGGCCCCGCGGACGCGCGGTCGCACGCGGGCGTTCGGCGCGGGGCACTCGACGGCAACACAAATGCGCCAAGGAGCCGAGGGGTTACGGCCCAGGGGCCTCTGAAGGGGCCCTAGGACACACAGACAAATACACACAAATAACTGGATTCCCAATATTTCCCCTTATTTTCTGTGTTTTTTTCTTCCCCCCCCCCACTTCCCATATTTTACCATATTTTCCTTGTAGTCGACGATTCATTGTGTCCGTGTGTGTTTTTTCCCCTCCTGAGCCTGGCCCGCGAAGCCGCGGATACCGAGCTGTTTGTTGGGCACGAACTGGCCATCGCTCGGACGTCCATTCCCTGGGCTTTTTGTTCGGTGTAGTGCGCGTTTTTTCGCAGGAGGATCCAGGATGCTCCTTAATAATCCCCGCCGAGAAAAAGTGCACACGTCCGAGCGATTCCAAGCGAAGGAGCGGGCGCCAAAACACTCAGGGGGGCCTGTTCCATGGGAGCCTCCCCGGGCGCTGCTCGAGTTGGGGCTCTCTTGAACCAGATTGGAACACATTCGGAACTGGAATTGGACCGGACTCGGACCAGATCCGCCCCCCCGCTGGGAGACGAGAAGAGCGAGGAGGGGGAGGAGGAACAGGAAGGGCGAGGAGGAGGAGGAGGAGAAGGAGGAGGAGGCGGAGGAAGGGCCAACTGCGGTCTAAACGCTGTCCCACTGGGACCCGATTGGAACACATTGAGAACCAGAGTTGCGCCGAAGGCTCGCGGATTTCAAGGCCCGCCCACGACGACTGTGAAGGGGCCCTGGGACACACAAACAACTACACACAAATAACAGGAGTCCCCACATCTCCCCATCTGTTCTGGGTGTTTGTCTTCCCCCCCACTCCCCACATTTTCCAATATTTTTTCTGGGGAGTCGACGATTCATTGTTAGGGAAACGAATAATCACATAAACGTAAAAACTCGGAGGTCCGCGCGGATTTCTCGCATCGGCGCTGGACCCCCTCTCTGGCGCGCGGAGCGCGCCAAGGGCGGCGCCGGAGGCGCCGCGGGGGGGCCCCAGCGCCGATCCGAGAAATCCGCGCGGACCTCCGCTTTTTATATTTATGCCACTTCTTGTTCCCCTATTGTGTCTGTGTTTTTGTCCCTCCTCATGTGTGTCTGTGTCTGTGTCTGTGTCTTATTGTGTCTGTGTCTTATTCTCTTACTGTTCCCTAATTGTGTCTGTGTCTCAGTGTGTCTCTGCCATGGGCTCGAAGGCCCGCGCGACGCTCCCAGCTCGGCGCTCCCCGGCGCGCGTGCGGAGCGCGCACGGGGGGGGCGCGGCGCCTGGCCGGAGGTGCATCTCGTCTTACGTCGGGCCTGTGCCTCTACAGGGGGATCTTCGACGACGAAAAAAAACGCAAATAGCACAAAAATGCTAAAAAAATAGTCGGGGGACTATTTTTTGAATACGTTTTGACTTTTGTGGTGCATTTTTGGTGTATTTTTTGTTTTTTGGTCGAGAATCCCCCTGTAGGGGGACACGCCCGACATAAGCGCACAAGGGGGGGCGCGGCGCCCGGCCGGAGGCGCACCTCGTCGGGCCCCAGACCTCCTCGCGCTGCGCAGAAGCCACCACGGGAGGTGTCCCCTCTCCTCCTCCCTCCTCCTCCCTCCCTCTCCCTCCTCCCTCCTCCCTCCTCCTCCTCCCTCCTCCTCCCTCCCTCTCCCTCCTCCTCCTCCTCCTCCTCCTCCTTCTCCCTCCTCCTCCTCCTCCTCCTCCTCCTCCTCCTCTTCCTCCCTCCTCCATCCTCCCTCCTCCCTCCTCCCTCCTCCCTCCTCCCTCCCTTCTGTCCTCGGGGAGCCCAAAACTTGGCATCGCTCGGACGTCCATTCCCTGTGCTCTTTTCGGTTTCGTGCGTGGCCTTTTCGCAGGAGGATTCAGGATGCTCCTCGATGGCCCTCGCCGAAGGAAAAATGCGCACGTCCGAGCGGTGCCAAGTCCTTGGGGATCCCAAAACCGTGTGGTGACAGACCGTGCGGCAACCTCAGAACCCCAAGAGACCTCACCGCACGGTCCGGCACCGCACGGTCTTGGGACCCTGGAGGCCCCTGTCGCCCAAGACATCCCCAGAGAGGGACTCGAGTCCCAGAACCGTGCGGGGACACCGATTCCCCACAGACTCACCACACGGCCTGGTCACCACCCCGTTTGGAGGCCCCCGATTCTTGCCTCTGGGGGACCTTCCCAGGCCTCGACGCTGTTAGAAAAACACTCGGGAGGAAGAACCGGTCTCGGGAAAGGGTCAAGACCTCCGGGGGCCGACGTTGCGAACAGAATCACGACGGAGGTCTGGGGGCAGAGGGGGGCAGCGCAGTTCGGGAGAACTCAGCGCGGGTCTCCGAACGTTCATGCTCATGCCGCTGTACGGTCAACCAGCATAGGTCGGGCATGTCTCCTACAGGGGATGTTTGGACGAAGAATCAGACAAATGTTCAACACATATTCAAAAATAATAGGAAGATGCTCAGAACATCGTCCCCAGACTACTTTGTAACTACTTTTGGAATGTTCCTCCTGTAGAGGGGCAGGCCCGACTTAAGCATAGCAAGGATGGGCAACCTTCCCAAGGGTACCCTTGCACCCTTGCCTCCTCGGCCCATCCTTGGCGACCTTCGCTAGCGAATCTCCTTCGAAAAACGCTCGCATGGCCTCCCAAAGCCCCTGCATCCTTACCGCCCATCCTTCTGATACGGGTTGACTCCAAGGCCACGCTAATAGAGACGTTGCTGAAAAGTGATACTGGGAACCAACTTGTAGGACATCACGATCCACTCTTTCCTCCGTGTCCAGTGTGCAGATGCATCGAACGAAAACGACACAGCGAAGTTGCAGGAAAGCGCGAGCCACGCGTTCCCACGATACCGACGCCTACATCGCCGTCAGCGTGTCTGCGGTGACTGTGCCCTCTCCGGGAGCAGCAAGGAGCAGGACGGCGGCGGCGGCGGCGAGGACGGCGAGGACGAAGGCGAGGACGGCGAGGACGAAGGCGACGACGGCAGGGCGGCGGAGACGGCGAGGACGAGGACGAGGACGAAGGAAAAACGGCGAGGACGAGGACGGCGACGAGGACGGCGACGAGGACGACGACAAGGACGACGACGGCGCCGCCGCCGACGACGGCAAGGACGACGACGGCAGGACAAGGACGACGATGCCGACGACAAGGACGACTAGAACAACGCGACAAGGACGACGCCAAAGACGACGACGACGACAACGACAGCGAACGCCGGCGGCCTCGGCAGAGCCCACCTCCGCGGGCGCGTCGCGAGCGGGAGCCAGGGGCCAGGAGGCGGCAGCCGCCTCCGCCGAGGACGCGCGGTTTTGCTCGCTCAGCAAGCGGATCGAAGCAGCGGCAGTCCAGGGAAGTCAGGTGTTGAACGCTTGTACAAGACCACCTCCTCCTACTTGTGTTCAGCAGGGCGTGTCTCCCTACAGGCGAGTTTTGGACCAAAAATAAAACATACCCCAAAATGCTAGAAAATGCTCCGAAATAGTCCAACAATTATCCCCACACTATTGTTTCTATGTTTGAACATTCCTCCTGTAGAGGGACAGACCCGACTTAATACTTGCGAGACAGCAAGAAGGGGGTCCTGCGCACGGTGGCACAGCGTCCTCTACGCGATGGCATACGCTGGCCGCCGGCGCGGCGCGCTACAATGGCGATGAAGGCGCCTGCGCTCCACCTCACGCAGGCAGCTCACGCGCGAGTGTCCGCGCAGTCAGCCCCGTCTTCTTCAGTCGCTCGCTGGGGCAGCAGAAAAGGAACGCAGGATAATAGCCCTGGTCCAGGTGCGGCCCCTCGGGCGTTGTCAGGACTGAGTTTAGTGGGACCTGGTTTTGTGATGTGTCCTGGGGAACGCCCCCCCCGCCCCGTTCCACTAACGGGAGCTGCTGGCACCCAAGGAACACCAGCTACGGCAAACCTGGTTTAGTGACTCCAATCCATATTTTGGACTTCGGGGCCCAAACACTTACCGGCTCGCGCCGGCGCCGTTGAGGAACTGCTAGGAGGTAGTCAATTCCCAGATGCCGCCGGCGCGGACCGTGACATTCGCAAAATAATGAAGCAAGTATCCAGAATTTCACGCGGGAAAGCCGTGGACCCGCTGATCTGGGGCGGCTCCTGCGGCAGGAAGGCACTGGACAACGTCTGCCCGTGGCTGGATGCGATCCAGAAGATCTGGGCTCCGAGCAATCCTGCAAACGTGTGGCGCACAGAAGCCCAAGACCCGAAGAGGCCGTCGAGCACTGACCCTCCTCGGTGGCGAGCCCCAGTGGGGAAGTCAGCGAGGTGGAACTCCTCGAAAGGCCCGAAAGGCCTCTGGCCTTCTGAGACATGCACGGAACCTCTTTCCCGAAGGCGCAGGCGGCTTCAGAAGGCTGGAGGGTTTTAACATGCATGGAGAAAGAGACGGCGTGGCGAGGCCCAAGAGGAAAACTGGACGGCACGCAAGTCGGGAGTCACTTTCACACTACCTCGGCCCCAGAGGGGGGTGATGACTAGAGGGTGCTGGAAATCACGGCGCAGGCCACGGTATCTCCCCGGATTTCATGGCGCCCTCTTCCTCTTTCGATACCTCTCCAGCCATGATTTGCGAACCCTCCTCCTCCTCCTCCTCCTCCTCCTCGCCCCCTCTTCTTGGGCGCCACCGAAGATGGCCCCCTCTTGCAGGCCCCCGAGGAGAGGGGCAACGATAGGGGAGAGCTGGCTCGGGGGGGGGGGGGAACTTCGGCCTGGTATCGGCGATGCGTCGCCGATCCATCGGCGAGGCGCACTGGATTTTGGGTGACCCAAAAGGGGGTCCAGCTGAAAAGGGGGTGGTGCAATAGATTGGGGGCAATGGGGTTGCAAACGCATTGCACCTGGGACTCGTACTGCATCGTGCTGCAAGCAGGGTGCCGCACGCGAGGATACAGCAGTACTTTTGCGCCCCGAGATGTATTCACGCCCCGAATGTTTTGCAACCCCATAGACGCGCGATCCTGGCCGGAGTGGGGCTTTGTGTTACAATTTCCAAAGAAATGTTCCTTCAAAGTGGAAGCGGCTAAAAACGGCGACCGGAAACAGCAAAAAACCGGCTCCAGGATTGGAGCCGGAGCCGGAACCGGTCAAACAACGGCGACGGAATCTGTAAAAAAACGGCGTCGGAACCGGCAGCAAAAACTGCAAAACGGAACCGGTAAAAAAAAGGCCCTGTCTTCCAGGGCCCACGAAGGAGTGGGGCTATCAACGCTCCTATCGACGACCAGGGGGCGACCGGGGGTCGATGCGCGGGGGGCCCAACACCGATCCGCTGCTCAGTGCGACGGCGGCGTTTTTTTTGTTGGGGTTTCGCCCGGCTCGGTTTGCGTGCCTAGCGCTTGTCTCACCTGGTCCGATGCTGGGGCGCAGGGAAACAAAACATCCGAGGAATCCGCGCGGAGCCCGGCAAAGCTATGGTTATGTCGGGCGTGTCCCCCTACATGGGAATTTTCGACGAAAAATGAAAAATACAATACAAATGACCCAAACAGGTTAAATTATACGCGAAACATAATCCCCAAACGATTTGTTTTTTATTATTTTTTTGTTATTTTGGGGGTCGAGGGCTGCTGGGGGGCCCAGCGGAGTGACGCCCTACGGGGATTCAGATTAGACCTCGCCATTCCTGGGGGGCTGCGATCTGTGAAACTGTCGCCACTTTCGAGGGCTGCTGGGGTGCCCAGCACAGTGGGCACCCACGGCAGATTCAAATGGGACCTCGCCATCCCTGGGGGGCTGCGATCTGTGAAATTGTCGCCACTTTCGAGGGCTGCTGGGGGGCCCAGAACAGTGGGCACCCACGGCAGACTCAGATGGGACTTCGCCATCCCTGGGGGGCTGCGATCTGTGAAAATGTCGCCACTTTCGAGGCCTGCTGGGGGGCCCAGCACAGTGGGTACCCACGGCAGACTCAAATGGTTTTTCGCCATCCCTGTGGGGGCTGCGATGTGTGAAACTGTCGCCACTTTCGAAGCCTGCTGGGGGGCCCAGCACAGTGGGCACCCACGGCAGATCCAAATGGGACCTCGCCATCCCTGGAGGGCTGCGATCAGTGAAACAGTCGCCACTTTCGAAGGCTGCTGGGGGGCCCAGCACAGTGGGTACCCACGGCGGATTCAAATGAGACCTCGCCATCCCTGGGGGGCTGCGATGTGTGAAACTGTCGCCACTTTCGAGGGCTGCTGGGGGGGCCCAGCACAGTGGGCACCCACGGCGGATTCAAATGGGACCTCGCCATCCCTGGGGGGCTGCGATCTGTGAAACTGTCGCCACTTTCGAGGGCTGCTGAGGGGGCCCAGCACAGTGGGTACTCACGGCGGATTCAAATGGGACCTCGCCATCCCTGGGGGGCTGCGATCTGTGAAACTGTCGCCACTTTCGAAGGCTGCTGGGGGGCCCAGCACAGTGGGTACCCACGGCGGCTTCAAATGGGACCTCGCCATCCCTGGGGGGCTGCGATCTGCGAAACTGTCGCCATTTTCGAGGGCCGCTGGGGGGCCCAGCACAGTGGGTACTCACGGCGGATTCAAATGGGACCTCGCCATCCCTGGGGGGCTGCGATTTGTGAAACGGTCGCCTCTTTCGAGGCCTGCTGGGGGGCCCAGCACAGTGGGTACTCACGGCGGATTCAAAAGCTGCTGGGGGCTGCGATCTGTGAAACTGTCGCCACTTTCGAGGGCTGCTGAGGGGGGCCCAGCACAGTGGGTACTCACCGCAGACTCAGGTTACACCTCGCCATCCCTGGGGGGGCTGCGATCTGTGAAACTGTCGCCGCTTCCGAGGGCTGCTGAGGGGCCCAGCATAGTGGGTACTCACCGCAGACTCAGATTAGACATCGCCATCCCTGGGGGGCTGCGATCTGTGAAACAGTCGCCACTTTCGAAGGCTGCTGGGGGGGGGGCAGCACAGTAGGTACCCACGGCGGATTCAAATGGGACCTCGCCATCCCTGGGGGGCTGCGATCTGTGAAACTGTCGCCACTTTCGAGGGCTGCTGAGGGGGCCCAGCACAGTGGGTACTCACCGCAGACCCAGATTAGACTTCGCCATCCCTGGGGGGGCTGCGATCTGTGAAACTGTCGCCACTTTCGAAGCCTGCTGGGGGGCCCAGCACAGTGGGTACTCACCGCAGACTCAGATTAGACGGGCTGCGATCTGTGAAACTGCCGCCACTTTCGATGGCTGCTGGGGGGCCCAGCACAGTGGGTACGCACCGCAGACTCAAATGGGACCTCGCCATCCTTGGGGGGGTGCGATCTGTGAAACTGTCGCCACTTTCGAGGGCTGCTGAGGGGCCCAGCACAGTGGGTTTCCCGCACGTCTTTCTCCTGCTCTTCGTCCCCGACTCCCCATTTCTTCTTCGAGCCTGTAGTTGCCGCCCCTCGTTCTTGCATGGTTCTCGTGCGCATCATGCCATTGGCGCGTGTCCCAAGTAGCTTACATATCAAACAACGGATCCTGCACTTTGATGGTCCGTGCAAGTTTCGGCCAACTCCTCGTTTCCCATGATGCAAATGGGTTGGGTACGTCACAGGGTAATTTGATTATTCCCAACCCTCCTTGGTTGGGTATTCGTTTTGAATAGAGCAGGGTGGTCGCGTCACTCCTCCTGCCTCCCGCCTCCCTCTTGCCTCTTCCTGTCTTGCCTGCGGGGGGCTGCGATCTGTGAAACTGTCGCCACTTTCGAGGCCTGCTGGGGGGCCCAGCACAGTGAGGGCCACGGGCGGACCCAAATGAGACCTCGCCATCCCTGGGGGGCTGCGATCTGCGAAACTGTCGCCATTTTCGATGCCTGCAGGGGGGCCCAGCACAGTGAGGGCCACGGGCGGACCCAAATTAGACCTCGCCATCCCTGGGGGGCTGCGATCTGCGAAACTGTCGCCATTTTCGAGGCCTGCTGGGGGGCCCGGCACAGTGAGGGCCACGGGCGGACCCAAATTAGACCTCGCCATCCCTGGGGGGCTGCGATCTGCGAAACTGTCGCCATTTTCGAGGCCTGCTGGGGGGCCCAGCGCACCCTGAGGTTCACACCGGCTTATTTTAAGCTTTACGAAGCTGAAGCTTATAATAAGATCCAAAACTTATGTATAAGCTTTTCTTTGTTTTGCTTACAAGGTTGGTGAACAACTCTTTGAATGATATGTTTTTTTGTTTCGATCTTCTTGTTTCTGACATTTTGTGCGCCGCAATAAAAAAAGAGGTACGAACTAGAAACAGGGGGAAATGAACAAACAAACAGAAGGATAAAAACAGAGAGGGGGAGGGAGAAACAGGACAAGGATGAGGAAATATAGAGAAACATCGACATCTTGGGTTCACATACCCGCCAACCCCCTTTCGGGGGTCGTGGAATTATTTGGCACTAATGTCAAATAATTCCACGCGCCATGGTCGACGGAAGCTGCCGCGACGACGACGACGGAAACGCCATCGTCGCCATCGTTTAAACGGTGGCGACGATGGCGACGGCGGTCGACGACGACGACAGATACGACGAGGGCGACGGGGGAGACGAAACCGAGGGACGACGGCGAGCATTGTGCAGTGCGTTGTCGTTCGCCGCCAGTCAGCGGCTGAGTTCGCGGGGGGCGCCCGAGAACATTATTCTACCTTCTCTTCTCCAGACAGATACGTGCGCGGCCATGGCGCTGGAAGGTCGCGTCGCGGAACGGGAGGACTGCAGCGGCTATTCTTTTTATGCTCTCTTTTTTTGCAAGGTGTCTTGTCTACTCTCGCTCACCTCTCCCCTTTCGGTGCCGACATCTCTCCGTGCCTGTCTCGCGGTGATTCCTGAATTGTCCCGTGATCGACCCATTGGAGTCCCGCTCGGAACCAAATCGGGGGCATGCAGCTAGCAATGTTAGTTGCGCCCCCAACTCCAACCCCCTCCCCAACCCCCGCCCAAGAGAGAGAAGAATTCGAAAGATGGAAGGGCGCGTGGTGTAGCGCGTGGTGCCACCCTCGTCGCCATAGCTGGATTCGCAGCCGATCGCTGGCCAGGGCGATACCACAGGCGCGGTAGTTTCGGAATCCTAGCGTGCAGGGCGGCACCCTTGAGGGCGCGCTCAATGACTCATTGATTTGACACATTGATTTTTCGGCAGGCATGCCGAATCTCATCGATTCGAATTGTTGTTCAGCGTGACTTCTGTTGCCGTTTTGGCTCAAAACATTCAGGTTTGCGCGCGCGCCGAGTGCATCTGCGCGCAGAACGGCCTAGATGGCTCCCAAGAGGAGAGCCAGCATATCCGATGATGATCTTGATGCGCTCACCGAGGATCTCAGTAAGGTAATCACCTCGACCGCCAGGCCCGACTACAGGGATGATGTGACAGGAGGCCCGCGCAACAACGTCGAGTTGCTCAAGTGGGCAGACACGATAGCGTTGCTGCCAGCGGGCTTGCCACAACTCCAGCTACAGAAGGCGCTCGACACAGTGGCGGCGGAGAAGGAAGACACGTTCCACCTGAGCGACTCGAGAAGCAAGTGGGCAGAGGGCTTGGCCAAGAGATTGAGGGCAATGAGGCGCGACATGGAGCAGTGCGTCAGCAATTTCAGGGATCGTGCAGACGACGAGGACATCCCAGAATGCCTGGTGGCGTTTCGGAAGCACTCGAGACCATCCGGCCCTGCCGATGAGGAAGTCGACGGTGCCGACAATGGCGCAGATGAGGACGGCGCAGGGAGCGGGGCCGAGGTCGTTCCTGCCGAGCCAGCCGGCGATGCAGGAGGAGACGCAGGCCGCGCTGCTGAGGAGGAGGAGGGGGGCGACGGCGAGGAGTTCGAAGAGGGTGAAGAGGAGGAGCAGTCCGAGAAGGATGAGGCTGAGGACGAAGCTGGCGCCACCGAGGAGGAGATGAGGACGAGGAGTCAGCTGGCGAGGAGGTGGCGGCTGGCAAGGCTGCTGAACAGCCAGCGGAGACTGCAGCTTCGGGATCGAGCGCTTCGGGATTGACCAGTGCTGCAGACAAGCTGCCTGCTGGGGCGCCCTGCTCGAAGCGGCGGAGGACAACAACTCCTGGGGATTACGTGTGCAAGTACGCGTGGGATGCTGAGATGCAGGCCGCCTTCCGCACCAAGGGCGCGGAGCGAGAGAAGGCGATTCGTTTGGTGATCCCGAGCGTTGAGAATGGCTTGCTGAAAAGGCACTGCAAAGATTTCTCCGTTGCGGTCTGGCCAGATGGAGACACGTGGTCGGTACCGCATGTAAGCGCTGAGAAGTTGGAGGAGCTCTTGAAGTCTTCCTCCAAGGGTTCCCAGGTAGCCAGGAACTGGGTCGAGCACGTGACCGACGGCCAAGTCAGGCTCGTCGACTTCAAGCGGAGCGGCTTCTCATTTTTGGCAACTCGCCATGAGAAGTCGGATGGCAATGAACAGTTCGCCCAGCAATCCCTGCGAGACTTCAACGAGGATCAGATCAGCCAGATCCGCAAGCACATGGAGGAGTTGGTGCACATGTACGCGAAGAACACCATCGACAAGGACGACCTCATCAAGAAGAAGACCAGCTGCGTGGCCAAGGTGGCGCCATTAACGACAGTGCGCAAGCGCCCTGCAGCAATACCTGATGGCCAAGGCGAGGCAGCTGCAGGAGGTAAAGGCTGCGGGGGCGACACGACGCCTGTGGCGGCTGCCAAGCACCCGAAGCCGAAGGGCAAAGCCAAGGGCAAGGCCAAGGTTGTGGGGAAGAAGGCGTCGCCGTCGAAGGAGCCTGGCGCTTCGGGCGAGACGCAGGAGGCTGCTTCGGTGGCCAGCAGTGACGAGGAGGCGGCGGCGTGGACAGCTTTGGGGCATGGCTTCGACGACGTGCCGCCGCCAGGCTTTGGGAGCATCTTCGACTTGAGGCACTGAAAGAGCTGCGAGTGAGAGAGCGACTTTTCACGCTGCACGCTGCTAAGTTTTCCAGGCGGCATTCCAGAGCAGGAACCAGTGGGATGGTTGAACGATGAGCGCAGACACAACAAACCACAACATAGCTACTTGCAGTCGTGTCCGATTGTTCCAGAGGTGCTGCGAGAAAATCCAGTTGTGCATAGTTTCGGCATGCGTTTCACGCCATCGCAGAAATCAGATAGCGCGCCCGCCTGAGGAAGGGGGGGGGATAGAGGGAAGGGAAGGAGGGACGACAGACGAAACGAGCGCAAAAGGATCAGGAGAACTCCGAAACGTCAGATGGACTTCCTCCTCCTACTCCTCCTCCTCCTCGATCTCCTCCTCGGGGTTATTCTCCTCATCCTCCTCGTGCTCCCCCCTCGTCCTCCTGACATTCCTCACCCCTCCCCCCCCCAGCCCTCCTATCCTGCCCCCGTCTCTCCTCCTTGCGCCAATCGCCCGATCCATCCTGGGTGGCCAACCCACTTGTGCTATTCGACATGCGGTCGTGAGATCTACTGCTCATCCCCCTCTCGTACTTCCATTCGCGCTGATCCCCCTTCCGTTGCCGCTGCCAGGAGCTTCCGTCGGGCATCCCGTGGACCGACCGACAGCCGACCCTTGGCGAGGAGGCCGAGATGCGGGAGGAGGCAGGCCTCTCCCCGTCGACCTTGCCCTACTTCGGCGTCAACGCCCCCCCCGCGGCGACCCCCTCAGGAACGCCAACGTCATCGCCAGCGGGTTCTGCAGTTCTGGATTCTAACAAGGACCACTTTTTTTCGATCGGTCGAGCGACAAACTGAACGAGGGGTCTTTGGGGGCATGGAGTCTGATAGTGGAGGCCAGCCGCCCCCCTCTATGAATTTAAAGTCGGCCCCCCTCCCCCGCATCAAAACCAATGGAGCTCAACGCTCTCCAGTCCGGATCTTCTGGTTGGCCTGTCGTCTGGAAGCCCCCCTCTTAAATGGCGAGATGGCGATTGGGTCCTTAGGCTGCGACATTCGTTTTCCATGGTTGCACGTCTTATGCGCGCAAGATGTTTGCGTCGTGGCCGATCGACGTTGTGGGGCGCGGGCCACGTGAAAGATCGAGCGTTTCAAATCTGTTAGCCCTCGCACTCCACGCTGCAGAGTCTGGGGCGCTCCTCCTCCTCATCCCCCTCCTCACCCTTCTTTTCCGTCGCCTCGAGCTCCTTCCTCGTACTCCTCCTTCTCATCATCCTCCTCCGCCTCTCTTCCTCCCTCCCCCCCCTCCTCCTCCTCAGCCTCATCCTTTCCATCATCCTGTTTTTTTTTGGGGGGGGGTAGTGCCAGTCGCAGCGCAAACCGCAGAGAAAGGTCCACAGAGCGCTGAGATGTCGGAATGCCTACTAAAATACGGATGCGTGTCTGCAGCATCTCGCCAACATGCTGGTGGAGGGCCTGACCAACTCCAACCTCGAAGTTGCCAGCGTGGAAAGGATGTTGTTCGACCACACTGGGGGGCAGCAGGACGCCGTGGACGAGGCGATCGCCAGCGTGGCAGCGATCAAACGCAAACAAGAGACAGATACAGAAGAAAAAAGATTGACCCCAGAAAAGAAGTTCTGGACAAACATCAAAGATAACGGTTTCGACTTCGACGCCCGTGGATATAAGGGCAATCCAGTTGCAGGGAGATTTCAGCGTTATTTGAAGGCCAACCCAGCTAAGCACGACGAGTACCAGAGCGCCCAGGGCCCCGATGCAAAGAGAGCATTTCGCCAGACTTGGGCGAAACAGCAGCACGACAAGGTTGTAACCAGCAAAAGCTACACTGAGTCTGAGATCCTGGAGGAATTTCGGGGCAGCGCCTACCGCCCCTTGGGGCGCATCGCGGTCGAAGAGGGAGGCGGGGCCCAGGGAATGAAGAATGCAGTCGATTGGGCCTTGACCTGCTTGGATATGGGATGCCCGCGCTTCAAATATTGCAGCCGTGCGCAGAGCGCACGCTTCTTGTACGTGGAGGAGGGCTTCAGGGAGTCCATGGTGAGGAACTGGTCTCTCAGGCGTGAAGGTTCGACCACCCGCTCAGAGGCCCAAGGGCTTCACTTCTGAAAGGCTGGGCGTAATCGTGTAGGGCTCGGGGCCCCATTCCCATGGCGCCCAAGGAATGTTCGGAAGTCAATCGTTTAAAACTCCAGGAGACGAAACACGTGAATTCCTCCCGTTCAAAGGCCTCGAGCGGCCCCGAGAAACGAATCGCTTGAATTACCAAGGCGCATCCGATGAGAGAGCACCGAATGCGAAATGAGACGGGCTGAAAGGAGGAAGAGGAGGAGGAGGAGGAGGAGGAGAGGGGGGGGGGGGGGGGGGGGGGGGGGGGAGGGAGGGGGGGGGGGGGTGGGGGGGGGGGGGGGGGGGGGGGGGATGAGGCTGGGGGGGGGGGGGGGAGGGGGTGGGTGGGGGGGGGAGGGGGGGGGGGAAGGGGGGGGGGGGGGGGGGGGGAAAAGGGGAAAGGGGGGAAGAAGAAGGATAAGCAGACGAACAAGAAACAGAAGAAAAGGAACGCACAAGAGATGGGGACCTGGAACGCGAAGGAGAAAGACACACAGGGGGACAGAGGCGGGCGGAGAATGAGGAGGATGAGGGGGAGTGGAAGAGGAGAAGGTGGGAGGCGGAGGAGGAGGCGGAGGAAGAGGAGAAGGCAACTGAGGAGCAGGATGAGGGAACATAAGGAGGCGAGGGGGGAACAACTTGAGGAGGACGAGGAGGAGGAGGAGGAAGAGGAAGAGGAGGAGGAGGAGGAGGAGGAGGAGGAGGAGGAAGATGACCCCTTTCTAGCAGGCTGCGGCCCCGCGCGGCAGCGGCTCGGCGTCTTCTGGGGCGGCAGCTGCTGCGCCCGCGGCTGCACGTGCTGCGCCCCAGGCTGGTGGAGCTCATGGTGCAGAGGCAGCGCCTCCTCGTGGAACTACTGGCGCAGCAACTGGCGCAGGCGCTGGTGGTGCCCCTCCTGGTTCAGCTGCGTCGTCTGCTCGCACTCCTGGTGGAACTACTGGTCCCGTTGGAACTCCTGGTGGAACTACTGGTGCCGCTGGTGGAACTCCTGGTGGAACTACTGGCGGTGATGGCGGTGGCGGTGGCAATCTGCCTCGCGAGAAGAAGGTCAAGAAGGACGCGGCCCTGATGGCGGCCTTCCGAGCAGCATGCGCACTGAAGGAGGACTACGGCAGTACCGTGACCCAAGCGACGAACCTCCAGAAGCAGATCGGCAAGGACTCTTCTTGGTCGCGCTTCAACACGCCGCAGGCCATGAAGCCCTCGACGGATGCGCTCAAGAAGCTCGATAGTACGACCGAGCAGTCGGGCACGTTCAGCCTCATTGTGGCCGAAGAGATGGGCTCGCTCAAGTCGAGCATGGTCGAGCAGACGGGCTTGTCGGGCGCCGAGGTGACATTCAAGAACTCCAGCGCCATCGTCAAACCGATGGTCGAGGATGTTCAGGCCGAGATGAGCATCCTCCTCGGTGCCAAGCGCGGCCAGGTCGAGGCGCAGAGGAGCCTTGCCCCGAGCGCCAAGCCGAAGGCCCAGGTCGGCAAGAAGCGCAAGAGGGGCGGCGAGGGCGCCGCACCTGGCGCCGCTTCCTGATCGCAGGCCGCCCCTGCTCATACTACCAACCTCGGGCAAGCATACCTCCATGAATGCAGTTGGCATTGCTTCAGTGTTGTTTCTCATTTGCCGCCCCTCAGAATGTCTCGAGAGTGGCTATCGCGAAGAGTGCCTCGCGAAGTGGGAAGGATATGTTTGCCCGATAGGGGCCTAGCATGCTGTCTTCACTCCTCCCTCTCCTCTTCCTCCTCTTCTCCTCCTCCTCCTCCTCCTCCTCATCATCCTCCCTCTCCTCCTCCATCCTCTCCTCCTCCCCTCCTCCTTCTCCTCCTCCTCCTCGTCCTCCTCTTGTGCTCTCGGGCCCCGCGAAACACGTCCGCGGCGCCGCCGCCCGCAATTGTGGGCACCAGGCGCGTGATCTTCTGCCGCGCGACCCTCAGGGGGGGTGATTTCTTTCCTCAGGGCGGGAAATATTGTCGTTACCCCCCCCCCCCCGACGCTCTCGCGACATTGAAAAACGGTAGCTGGACAGTTTGGGCCCGGCGGAACCGCGTTGAGTCCGGCGTTGAGTTGCGTTGAGTGCATATTGTTTTTGTGAGGGTGTTTCGAGGGAGCTTATTTCTCAACGTTGAGTTCACCGTTGAGTCGCGTTGAGTCCGGTTCGGGGCTGTTCAGGTCGGCTTGGGACCAGAGGGGGGCTATGAAATTCAGCACTTAGACTTCGAGATTCATTCAATGATGCTCGAGGGTCGCTGCGTGAATCCTCAATTGTTCTGTAGGGGTAGCCCTGCAGATCCCGCTGGTCGCTGCTGCGTGTTTGATCGTGTCGCAGCGGGGATGCGCACGAGACAGCTCGAGCGACTCTGTAGAGTGCTTGCGGGATAGCTGCCTGCATCGGCTGCATCACATGGGATGCCGCAGGGGGAGGGGGGGGCAACAGCCAATCAGTGATATCTAGCATAAGCAAAAGCAGAAGAGCAGCATGCAGGTAGCAGTACTAGTACGCACAACGACCAGTTAGTATCCTTTTGAACGAGTGCCAGGACATGATGCAGCATCTCCCCTTTTTTGGAGATGGAATCGCGTCATCATCACCTCAGGCGTCATCGTCATCGTTTGTGGACTGGTCTCATGCGACTCGCAGCTCAATAGGATTTCACCCCGTGGTTTCTGTCCCTTTTGTTCGATCGGGCCCTCAGTCGTCTCTGGTCCAGGTCCTGGTACCGAGTTTGCTTCGATGTCGACCTTCTTCGAGACACAGTGTCGGCCCCAGGGCTTTGTACTCACCTTCAGACCCTTGAACGTTCGAAAGACAGAGCATGACAGAAAGAGAACGGCTGGACGAATTGACTCGCGAGCTCAGGGGGGGGGGGGGGGTGCGCCACTGTGATCTTAAGTTCACGCTGTGTTTCCGAAGGCTTGTGGCACTTGCGCGGGTTCTATTCATCCTTCTGCTCGCACGCCTCTACACGCACAACCCCTTATCATTCCTCGTTTTCATCATGATCGGTGCTCATGTCTTCCAGTTTCCCTACCTGTAACCTCCCCTTCGTATCATCCCGCCCATCGTCGTCGTATCGCTCATTTCCGATGTGTCACCATCGAGCTGCCCCTCTCAATCCAGTTTGTTTGTTTGCCACCCCTGCCACATCATGGTTCCATGGAGGCACGTCCCAAACGGCGTCGGACCCAACCAACGATACTCCAACCGCCAGCTAGCACTCAGGAGGAGATCGACGCGAGGTTGCAACGACAGAGGGATGCTGGACACAACCTACTTCAAAAGATCAAAGAGCTCTACGCGTTCGGGAAACTTTCTGCTGCAGATACATGCATCCTGTGTCACTGGTGCGACCGCGCTGAGGTCTTGGGAGGGGACTTTCACAAATATGCGCGCCCGCCTGGCTTGCAAACGGGGAGGCATAGCAGGGACCTAGACGAAGCGATGCCATGCCCAGAAATGGTTGATGTGATTAACTACCCCACCACGGACAAACACACTGGATCCAGGAGTGAATTACAAACAGAGGCAACCCTACTTCACGAGGCCCTTGCTGAAGCGATCTCCAAAGACAAGGACACGTGCACCGTCGGCCCCGACACAAAACTTCCAGACGTTTACTGGGAACACACGCTTGTAAAACGGGCCCAAAGGAGTGGCGCCGATCTCCCAGTGCCGCTTGCGATTTACACGGATGCAGTTCGCTTCAGTTCAATGACATCATCCAACCCAGATACAGTGTTGGGTTTTTGGTGCACGAACGTGCTCACTCGGAAGCGAACTCTCATCACAACCTTGCGGTCGCGAGGTGCGTGCTCTTGTGGGTGCAGGGGGTGGTGCAGTGTGTACCCCATCCTTACTTGCCTGAGGTGGTGCATAGGAGTGTTGGCCGATGGTGTCCGACCGACACATCGTTACAATGGTGACCTAATCCCTGACAGCCACTCATTGGGTCGTGCGTCAAAATCGAAAGGGGGGGCATTGGGCTTCACAGGGTGCGTGATCTGGCTAAAGCTAGACTGGGCCGACGCGTTGCACACTCACGGGCTCCCCAGTGTGAACTCATTGTGCTCACCGTGCTCGTTGTGCAAATGTACGTCGGGAGACATGCATGCATTCACCGACCTACTTCAATTGGCACGTCTACCTTGGGCACCCAGGGACCATCGCGAATCCGATTCGTTTTGCCAGCAATGCGAAACGCACGTGACCCTGAATTCGGAGGCTGATCGATCACTCATCTTGGGCAAATTGCAGTACAAGAAGGGGCCAAAAGAATGGGGGCGGACACTGAAATCAGATTGCTGGAACCTCAAAGCAGAAGATGTCATCGTCCCAAGCGCGACCCTTTTAAGCATTGGGGACTTAGACACAACCCCCTTACCTGTGACGGTGACGTTTTGGAGGCGGGCATTCGGGCATGACGGAACCAAAGTAGCAGGCCCTGCTATTTGGAGAAACCCCATATTCGATTTACGGTTGGGCCTCGCTCCATCAACTATTGTGGCTGTTGACACATTGCATACATTGTATTTGGGCGTATTCGGCAGACTCGCATCAGCAATCTTATTACGGATCCCCATCCACAACCCTGGGAAAATCCATGGAAACAAGCAAACAGTTATGAACATCGGTTGCAGGCATCTGAAAGCATCTATGTTTGAGTTTTTTTCGAACGTGCTGGTATCCCTCACGGAGACAGGCTAAGCGACCTCACACCAAAAATGTTGGGAGAGCTCGGGGATTACGAGGACAACGAAACCAATCCACACCCAGGGCAGCCCCCGAAGACGAAAGCGTATGAGACATGGATATTGCTTCAATTTGCTGTGGACTTACTCAAAAAACACAACGCGGACATCCCATTCGGTACAGACCTCAGAGTTGATGGCGAATGTATGATCGAATACATGAACATACTGAAAGACGAGGGCCTGGTTGTGGCGGAGAGCAAATTAC